AGTTCGGCGATGGCTGGCAGTGAGTGATGAGCCGGTTACTGTCCGTTGCGCGCAGAGTCGTTTTGGCCGCCGTGCGCTGCAGCGCCCGCGGCTGCAGCGGTCTCGGCATGTTCTATGCCGTGAAGAGGGGCCGCAAGGCCGGGGTCTTCCTGACCTGGTGAGTGGGCGGCCCCGAGTCGCGCCCCCGGCAACCGCGCGGCTGGGAGTCGGGCTGTCACCCGGAGCTCGCGGCCCTCGGCCTGGGGTGCAGCGCGCGGGGGCCCGCCGCCGGCCGCGCGGTGGGAGCCCCGAGCCCGTCTCCGCCGGCGTCGGCTCGCAGGTCCCGGCCGGAGGCTCCAACTTACGTTCCATGTCTGTTGGCATTGTCAGAGATGCCACGTATAGTGTAAGGTGACCAGGGCTCTCCGCTTATTCCTTCCTTTTTGTTTCAGTGAAACAATTTCCAAGTGGTTACACGTAGCGGAACTCTGAAGGTACCTAATCGAATCTTCCCCTTTAAAAAGAGCAGTTCTTATAAACTGATATTTAGGTCCCTGTCACAACGCTTTAGGTGGGTGAGTTTATTATTTTCAGGTGTCGTTCCCGTGGTCAGGAAACTCATGGGGCTAGTAAGTGATGCGGTAGGACTTGCATGCAGGTGTTCGGATTTCAGGCCAGGACTCGCCCCGCCGTAGGATGCCAAGGTTTATTATCCGTGTGTGTGCGTGCCCGCAGTTGTTTACCTGTGCAGCGGTGCTACTGAGGTAGAAGCAGCTCAGAGGCTCACCTTTTTGCTGTAATGAAATGTGAACAGGGTTTTCTTTTTCGAACACCCCAAAATTCTAATGTGTTTTGAGATTGAGGAAACCGTTCCTGACTGGTGTGCCGTCTGGCTGGGACGCAGCACTACACGGTGAGGTGTTGGACGGGAAAGAAAACTACACACGGTTTGCCCCCACGGAGCTGGCAGACTTTTGTCACGCTATTCCTAACCTCAGAATCCGTTAGAAAGAGGATGAGTAAGGGAGGAAGGAGGTAACATTGCACTCTGTTCCAGGAGCGAATGTAGAGCCCAGGTGGACCGGTTTCCTGCTGCCAGATTTAAGAAGTTTGCCACCGAGGAGGAGGCCTGGGCCTTTGTCCGAAAGCCTGCAAGCCCGGATGGACCAGAAGGTAGTCAGCCGCTCTCATCGTGGTGGCGTTTTATCAAAGCTTTGCACGGCCCAGCGTCACTTGATCTGTGGAGCTGCCTTCATGACGGAGCACATAGGATCGTTTGTTTCCATTTTACAGACAAGGAGACAGGCGGAAAGCGGTTTACCTTAGGGAGTTCTGTTAGTACCTGAGTTAGAAACAGGCCAGGACACCAGTCTCCTGCTCCATTCAGTGTCCTCACTGTACTTAATTTTCTCTTTAAAAAAATACTTGTTCTGTTATTGAATTGAATGGGCTACAGTTTTAAAGTGGTGAGCGTAGGTTGTCTCAGTGCATGCACCTGTATGGTGTGTCCTTTTTGTGTAGGACAGTCACATGATCGGAATTTCCCCCAGTTTCACATAGTGCAGAAAGTACAGTTGGTTAATTGAAGCGTAATTCCCAGTATAAGGAACACCAGGTGTGCAGGACTAAGGGTGACTGCCTTGGAGCACAAAATTTTAAAAATATAGCTAACCCTTGAACAACACGTGTTTGAACCACGTGGGTCAGCTTATGTGTGGACTTGGTTGTATTTATTACATAGGTTTGTTTGTTACATTTTCCTTAATAACATTTTCTCTTGTCTAGCTTATTCTAAGAATACGATATATAAGACATATACAAAATATGTGTGAATTGATTATTTACATTACCAGTAAGACTTCGGCTAACAGTAGGCTATCAATAGTAGTTAAGTGTTTGGGGAGTCAATGGTTATACTCAGATTCTTGACTGCGCAGGTTGTTAAACCCCCCCAGGTTGTTCACGGGTAAACTGTATACCTTAACCGACTTTGAAAAAGTGGTGTTTCATTAGCTTTACTCAACAGACTTTTTTTTTT